AGGGGGGGGGGGGGTGAAAAAGCTCAATTCTCTAGACATTAACACTAATCTATAGCTACCCCAAGGTCATTTTATATGTGTTTGAGCAGCAGGAGAACATCCGTAGCTGTAGTGCCCCAGCACTTGAAAGTGAGGCAAGTGTATTTTCCGATCACTTTCTGCTTAAGGATGGGACTTTGTCAGAGTGACCACCCGGGCAATATGAATAACAGAACCTGACTGTGCGTCAGAGTGACAGACAGAAGGGGCATTCCTCTTCTTGCCCATCTCAGCCCTACAATTACTCCCACTTCCTTTAGGTGACAAGGTCTACTGGAAGATGTAGTGCAGGGAGAAAATCATGTCACATTGACACGTTTTCCAGATTAATGGCAGTTTTAAAACCACTAAAATTTTGCTTTAAAGATCAAGAAATCAAATTACTACATCTCTATTTGTAGTAAGCCTCAGTATAACTATTTTTAGGTACCAATTAGCTTAAACCACAGGTTCACAGATATGTTTTCGTTTTCACTGCAACACAAAAAAGTGTTTCTAAATAGCTACTATGGGAAAACATGGAGGCTTAGTGGTCAGCACTTCTACCTTAGTTTAACACTGGGGTCCTTTGGTTTGAATCCCGGATAGGACACTATTTGCATGGAGTCTGCATGTTCTACCTGTGCTTGCCTGGGTTTCCATGGGGTACTCCTGTTTCCTCCAAAGACATGCTGGAAGGTTAATTGGCTCCTGTCTAAATTGGCCATTATATGTATGCATGTGAGCTAGGGACCTTAGATTGTAAGCTCCTTGAAAGCAGGGACTGATGTGAATGTGCAACTATGTAAAGTGATGGGACTGTATAATTATGTGATAATGTATTGTCTATAAAATATCACATAAGACACAGTGGCCTGGTGCAAGACTACTAGCAGTGATTATCCAAAGGAGACTTGCTGCAGCCCTGCAAGAATTGAAATGGGGGCAGGAAGGCAAGCGATATTAAACACAAGCCTTCTGCCTAAAATTAACAAATTTTGAAAATGTTGGTATTGTGGGAATTGGTTACTCTGTAGAAATACAGTTTGTATCTCTTTCAAAGAAGCTGCCAGCAGCATATTTTTACTTGAAAATATCTAATTAGAGAAGGGAACGAGCTATTCTGGTATACCCTTTACAAAAAAAATCTGTTTTTGCTTCCCCTCCTCCCCCAATATATGTGTGTTCATTTGCCAAATCTTTACAAGTGCCACTAATGAACTGATTGACTCTTGGAAAAACTGGCAAAACGCACATTTAGGAATTTATCTGGACAGGATCCAAGATTTTGCCATTCTCAAGTTAAGTTGGAATTAGATATGTTCATCCAATTAAAAAAATAAATAAATAAATCACTTTGCACTTGCACTGCAAAAGAAAAAAACTAAATGTGACAGTTTAAACAAATGAAACGCTTCATATCACAGGAATTCTTTTTAATATGTGATGCGACACGTGGCTAGCTATTCCTTTTACATATATGGCAATGTGTGTTTTAGATTTAACAGCCCATTTAGGGAGGAATTGCAGGATGATCCCAAAGTGATAAACAATGAAGACTTTTGTTTCCCTCCTACCATCTCAGGAAACTACAGGCTCAGTACGCCAGTACAGGAGCACAGCCAAATGGGACATTGCAATGGCACACGGAGGAGCTCACAAATCCTAAAATTTCGTACTATTTTATAGTCTTGCTAAGATTGGAAAATCCAACGCCGACACAGGTCAACAGCGCTTTCTCTGCTCCTTTACGCTCTTCGTACGTCTTGCTTTCAATTTTAAACATGATCTGGAAAAAGCTCCTCAAATGCCGCAAAAACTCAATCCTGCCAAACACACAGGAAAACAGAGTGAAAAAATGAATTCCCCATTTCAGCAAAACAGGACACTCCCTCCTTCAGTTTCTTGGCAACACTATGCAGCTTTCAGCCAGAACTGCCAGCTTTATGGATTTAGCCACTTATCAAAAAGCTACATTTCAGAATTTAAGAAAACACCATGGCTTTGAGCACATTATAAAACTAGTATTTTTCAATAGGAGAGATCAAACGATTAGATTGACATGCTGCAGCCTGAGGCTTCCTATGGAGGTTTGTATTCTGTTCAAAGAGACCAGGTGCAGTCAGTCTTTCGATGGCACCACCATTCTTCAGTTATCACAGTACTGTACCAATTACATATACAGCACCGGTACCATGATAACCGAAAAAGGACAGTTCACATTCTCAGACTCCGCCTGGGAAATGCTGTTCTATAGTACAAAAAAAGCACAAGTGATCACTTGATAGTCCCAGAGTCCTCGTCTAAACACAAAATCTAGGGCTATAAAAAGGAATTATCTGGATCAGCAGTTACACATCGCAAAAGCAAACTTACGTGTAAGGAGACAAAGGTCCAAGCAAGATTTTGGAGACATCTTGCTGCCCCAGGGTCATAAGCAGCAAAACTAAGCTCTGATTCACTGAATCCACGCATCCTCCCTGAAAAACACAAACACGTGAGTCTTTAAGACGGGTCAAGGGAGAACAGGCCCCAGGGATGGATACAAAATAGACAATGAACTGTAAACACAGAAATCCTTAGGCCCCGTTCACACCTTTCCGTTTTGTCGGGCGTTCAATGCTCTATGAACGCTCTACAAAACGTACAACCATGAAAATCCCATTGTTTTCTATGGGTATGGTTCACACCTTTCCGTATTTCCGCCCGTCCGAACGCCCTACAAAACGGCTGACGTCCAAACAAGTACATGTACTTCATTGGGCCGTTTTGGAGGGCGTTTTCCATTGGGATACAGCCAAGTTGCCTTCGGAATCGCGCGACGGTCGCGCGATTTTTTTTTTACTGCGAGACGCGGTAAAAAGACCGCGTGACGGTCGCGCAACAGACGTGCATACGTAATACGCCTAGGTGTGAACCCAGCCTTACACAAATGACTATAAGCTTTGGCAATCAGAGCACAGAGATTGACATCTAAGGGCATTACATTGTAAACCAAAACCATGTTAAAAGAAAAACCAAAATCAATACAACTAGCAGTAATGTTTATTTTAGAATTCTAGCTAATGGATCTTGGGTGTGTTGTAGCTACACTGCCCCTCAGTGGTCCAAATGGAGCACTGCATTTTAGGTGAGAAAAAAGGAAGTTTCCCATTATGCATCATCAAAAGCAGGCTAAAGCAGTATATTAGAACTCATAAGCGGAGACCTTTATACTGATGACACACAATATAATGCGTGCGCACACGCACTGAACTTAAATGGTGTCTGCAAAAGAACATGTGCAGCAGTCATTCCACATAAAAAAACTGATCGGATTTCCTTTAAATGGGTAGGCCTATTTTTAAGGGAAAGGAAGACCAAACTTTCATTTAATTGCATTACCTGTACTACAGAATACTTTTGTATCATATTAGATAATGCTAAAAAGTCAATCTGCAAATCCTAAAAAACATAAAATAGCAAATACTGCTCATGTGTCAGACATGTATCTATATATCTCAATCAGTTAGATGCACCGCACACCAGCCTTTTTCTAGCCGGTGCTGTCAATACAGGAATCAGTGTGCACAATTCCTTGCATATAACAATAGTCAGGCTATTGCAGCTATCCTTTCTTTTCACTACCTTCTTTCATACATTTGGGGAGTCTCCCACATGGCAAACAGCGAATGTGTTTACTTTTTTTTTTCCGCTGGCCACTCTTCCCTGACGGCCAGCTCTGTGGAGTGTACGGTTTAAAGTGGTCCTATGGACAGATACTCCATTCTCCTCTGTGGAGCTACAGCTCCCTCAGGGTTATCTTTGGTCTTTGCTGCCTCTCTGATGAATGCCCTCCTTGTCTGGTCCCTGTGCTTTGGTGAGTGGCCCTCTCTTGGCAGGTTTGTGGTGGTGCCTTATTCTTTCCATTTTTCCATTATGGATTTAATAGTGCTCTGTGGGATGTTCAAAGTGGTTTATATATTTTTTGAAATCCCAACCCTGATCTGTACTTCTCCACAACTTCGTCCCTAACCTGTTTGGATAGCTCCTTGGTCTTCATGGTGTCGAACCCCCAGTACTATACAATCGTACGACTTGTCTTTCCTGCATGTCGAAAACTTCAGTCGATCGTACGATTTTTGCAAGGTTGGTCGTTGGTGACGTTTCCGTACGTCAAGTCGTACGATTAACACTGCTCATGCGCAAACGAAAATATGTGCGGTCGATTACCGCAATTCATCCAGGTGTTTTTTTTTAACTAACGCTGATTGAACCTTGCGATAATCGGGGCAGGATGGGGCCGTTGTTCGATCAGACGAAATGTTTCGTTCAATAATCATAAGGTGTATGGGCACCTTAATGTTCAAAGTTTCAATTTTTTTTTTATATATAACCCAAACCTGATCTGTACTTCTCCACAAATTCGTCCCTGGCCTGTTTGGAGAGCTCCTTGGTCTTCATGGTGCCACTTGTATAGTGGTGTTGAACATTGAGATATATATATATTGTGATATTGGGGAGCTCACAGAGCACTCGCACAGGCTTTTCCATTAACAAAACGTCTTTATTTTCTGTTCAAAAGGCAGACAGTAAAGGAAGTCCAACATAAATAGCTTGCTGCAGCATATAACAGATATGGGCTCACCAATGCTCACCCTTCACAGGTTATCCTGTTCAGTGTCCCGGTCCCAGGACCTTACTGTTTTCCTCAACAGGATCTCTTCAGGAATACACTGGGCACTTTGAGCAACTTTGAGCAGCCTTTGATTTCACACCCATACACCTTGGGTGCCTGGCTCTCTCAGCCTCTCTAGGCCTTCCAGCCTCCAACACATACACAGCCTCCTGGCTTCTGGGTGGAGTCCGCCTGACTCCGAGACACCACCTGTCCCTCTTCCCAGCAGGAGCCCTGAACACACTCCAGCACCCTCCTCATGAGGGATGCACACAGGTGCAAAATCAGGTGCTGGCTGCCACTAAAGCCTGGACCCAGGAATGGAGATTTCATCCCTCCCAATGCTCTTTGAAATCTCCCAGTTCCAGGAACCCAAGCCAAATCAGGAAAACCTGGGAAGAACCTGCTCAGCCCCCCTGGCTGAGAGACCTGGGTGACTATATTGCCAAAAGACACCCTGGCATTGCCACAATATATATATATATATATATTTTTCCTATTTTGTTGCATTGCTACCTGGAATTTAAAATGGGTTTATATTTGGATTACATGCAATAGACATACACAAAATAATCCAAAAACTAATACGGCTTACCCATTTGTATTGCTATATTATATATATATATCTCAATACAAATGGGTAAGCCGTATTAGTTTATATATATAGCAATACAAATGGGTAAGCCGTATTAGTTTTTGGATCCATTTTGGATTATTTTGTGTATGTCTATTGCATGTAATCCAAATAAAAACCCATTTTAAATTCCAGGTAGCAATGCAACAAAATAGGAAAAATGCCAATGGGGTGAATACTTTTTGCAAGTCACTGTACCATCATGCTGTTGTGCTGAGGTCACACATACACATTAACAAATTAATGGGCTGCCTAGGATACCAAAAAGGTGTATGCACCATTTTGTTTTTGCATGTGACTTGTAGTACAACCATTTGAACCCAGCGTTACAAGCATTGTGCACTACTGAATTCCAAGTTTTTGCTGCCTAGTATGTTGCGGTTAACAAAAAAGGGCCATCTAGGTGTGGTCTGGGACTGTGCTCAGGTAACCCACAAGAAGCTGCAGCTTTTTGTTCTCAATATTGTATAATGCCTAAATTAATGAAAACCAGCTAAATTTTTCACTTCATTGTGGCTGGTGCTTATTCTGTATATCCCCTTTATAGGCAGTGACAAAGGGTATAAAGCAGTCATTCATGCCAAAGAAAGCAAGAATGACAGTTCATACATGGAATATAAAAATCCCTCTTCATATACAGTATATTTAAAATACAGTTAATTTCAAATGAAAATATATCTGCATCCATAGTCTACTAGATGCTATAATCCTTAAATGTAGTGCCTGCATTAGTTTTCTTTTTTCAAGCTTTTTTTCCCGTCACAGGGTTGGCTCCACTGCATTAATGGAGTCACCCTTGTACAGCAGCACTGTCATCCCGTGGAAAGGGTAGTGTTAGATGGACTTGACTAAACAAATTAAAGCCAAATACCAGATAACACTTTTAAACACTTACAGCTATTTTTTTCCCCTTTTGGGATAAAGATTTAATATAAATGGATAAAAGCCGACCATTGTAAGAAACGCCTATCAGTGTTAAAATGGTTTGTTTCAACCCTCTCTGCGCCACTATTGCTGGACGGCTCAGCCTGTTAAAGGGTGTTGAAAAATAATGGACTTAAGGAGAACTATGAGGTGAGTGCTTTTCACTCACCTCATAGTTCTAGCCGACCTGTGACAATGAGACTGTCACAGGTCGCCTCAGTAGATCGGGAGGTGAGAGAACACATGCCGGGTTCGCTCGCCTCTCGATCCTGTCATGGCTCTCTGCCGTGACAGGGGGAGGGGCTGGATTCCCCTCTCCGATCTGCCAGCGCTGACTGGCGGAACGGACGGGGGAGCCAGCTGTCACTCACGCAGCTGGGCGGATCCCGTCATCTACGTCGGGATCCGCTCCGGCGTCTCAGTATACTGCGAGCTGTAGCTCGCGGTATACTGAGCTTAGGGTAACGGGAGGTCGCTAGTTTGTGTCCTCCCGTTACCCTAAGGAGAACTATGGGGAAAAACACTGACCCCCATAGTTCTCCTTTAAGCTGGCTTTATACTTCATGAATCTGTCAAACTTCACTCAGTGGGTGGCACTCCAAAAATCAATGGAGCTGGGCTAAAAATAGTCAGATGTAGGCACTGTTCAGGTATTTTGAAGCCAGCAGGGGAGATTGTCTAAATACAATAGCCGCAGAGGGACATTTCTCCATCCATGCGGTTTAGCATGAATGGAGGAACTAGTTAGGCATTTTCCATTCAGCCAATAACCCCCTAAAAAAAAAGCCTAAAAAAAGGGAAACTAATGGAGCCACCACATTTAACGATTGGTAAGCTCCAATACATGATATTGCATTTGGGAAAAAATGACCAGCAGCCGGCACAAATATACTATGGATATCCTCTCATCACAATTCCTTGGTGCCCAAGTGAATACACTCTGGTACAGGGAAGAAGAAAGATTACACCAATTAAACCTCAGTTCCCAGTTCAGGTCGGACAAGCTTGAAAATGTCAAATAAATTAAATGCATAATATGGCAACATGCTGCATCCCAAATGAGATTTACCTTCACCTTCTGTTCCCAGTGACAGGGAATCACAGACAAGAACTGCTGGGATCTCATGGATGGAGACAGAGCACAACAAAAGTGTTTGTTTTTTGCTGTCTGTGCCCCCATCTGGGTGATTTCCTATCAGGAATGGGTGCCATTGAGACAGGAACACACAAAGCAATACAGATATTGTAATCCTTCCCCATTCTTC